CTAAGCTCGGCCCACGTGGGTGACCTTGACCTGCTGACGCCGCTCCACTGCTCGGTGACGGCACGAGCCACGGCTTCAGCAAACGCGGGCGGATACTCCTGGGCCCGGGAAGTCCTGCTACTCCCCTCCAGGAGCACATGCTGGTGGTCTCCGGAACACAGCCTACCGTCCATGATCTCTGAGAGCCTAGGGTGGTTGGTGAGCAATCCGGTGGGCTTCTTGTTGAGGCCATCCTTAGTGACTCGGAGCCCGAACATACACATATCGATCCGAACCCTGCGAACGCCTGGAAGCTGAGCGACCAACTGTACTACCTTAGTCGCCCAAGAACTCGCAAACAGAGGGTGTTCAAACGCGAAGTACCGCCCTCGCTCCGATTGGTACAGGGCTATGCGCATGCAAAGGATTAAATCATTGACCCCGTCAGTTACGGCTTGCTTCCATTTAAACGGGTCTCGGACGGCTCTGCTGATGCGACTAATAGCCGAGAAGACCTTGCAGGGCGGGCACAGCCAGATCATGTCTGGCTTCTCTTTCTCTATGGCCGCCCAGAGATCTAACTGGTCGTTCGCTCTCCTAGAATCCCACCCGGTCCTCAGATCCCAACTAGGCTTGGTCCCCAGAGTTCCCCCACGGCGCTGCACTCTGGGCGCGATCCTAGGAGGCGAGAACACTTCCATAAAGCTGATTCCTCGGTTCCTTGAGACAAACAGCTCCGTAGTTGGGCCCTCCTGGGACCCGTCCGGCCTAGCCCTGAGTTCTAGAGCTCGCCGAACTTGCTTGGGCAGCGTGACCTCGTGGTCGTCGTTAAAGTTGTCCCCGTCCTGCCACTCGATTCCTTCGAAATCGCTTTTCGAGCTGTGTCCCTCCACTGGCGACTGAGGTCCAACGACCGAGGCAAACACAGGAAACGTCGGAATCGAGCGACCATCTCTGACTTGGGTAGATGCTGGAGATAATGATGATGCCTTTTGCGCTGCACAACTGCAGCCGCCAGAGGCAGCTCGGCCACACTGAGTGGCAGCGGCCAGAATCACGTATGAGCCCGCTAGATCATTGGCTCGGGATCGTTCCCGAGCACCTCCCATGAGTCGAGGCTCGCCTCTGGGATCGTCGGCAACGGAGGACGCGTCGTAGTCGCCGTCGTTGCTCCCGACATGGTCGGTGCTGTAGTGGTCCCCGTCCCGTACGGGTCGGTAACCGTCCAGGGGTCCCCGCCTGCCACTGTCGCCTGGTCGTCGATCGGTGGCGGGTAGGACGGCGGAGGAGGGCTGGCTGCCCCGGACGAGGATGCCGCTGCCGAGCCGGCCGCGCCGATGGCCGCTGTCGGGGCCTGGTGAAAGGGAGCTGCTGCCATCGCTGCTGCAGCTGCCTGCTGAGGAACGTGCCACTGGTCCTCGACCTGCTGCCCCCCGTTGGCCACGTGCGCTATGGCCGCCACTGCCGTGCCCACGTTCACGAGCATGAATCCGATCTGGCCGATCGCTGTCTCCATCCCGGAGAGCGTGCCCGCGATGGCGTTGACCGACTCCTGGAGCGTGTCGATGGCTATCGCGAAGTCCGCCATCCCGGTGAGCTGCGTCTTGATGGCGGTGATGCCCTGGAAGATCTGCTGGAGCCCTTCCTCCATCTGCGTGGGAAACTGCTGGGTCTGCGTCGCGACCTGGATCATCTGGTCCACCACCGACTGTACCTGGCCCAGCGCACGAACTCCTTCTGGAATCGCCTGGAGCTGCCACTGGAGACCCTGGAGCAAACCGTACAGCTGATTCACCGTCGTCAGCGCCGCGCCTCCCGCCTTGAACTGCGGGTCGCTGGTCAGGAGGTCCACCGCCCTCTGAGCGGATGACGCCGCTGCCCGCGCGGCCTCGGCCGCCGTTGGCACTGCCGGTGCACCTCCTTGACCAGCGCGGCCTCCGGGACTCCATGCAATGCGCGCTCCGCAGAGAGTGCACCTCGATCCCGAGCCGTGCTGGTTCCCGTAGTACTTGATCGCCGAGGCTGGATGACTGCAGTGGGGTGATGCCTTGGGGGGTGGCTTCCCCGCAGCTGGCCCGAATAGCACCCCTGGTGTCGGCGCCGTCGCTCCCCCTCCAGCTGCCGTGGTGGCCGCCGTCCCCTCCGCTGCTACGGCCGCTGGAGGCGGTCCTGAGGGCAGAGGTGGCTGGCCGCGGTGCTCGACACCCGCCTGGGCTAGGGCATACAGCGCCTGGGGCATCGTCGGCTGGATGGTCCCCTCGATCGGTGGAGCTGGGGGCCACTGAGACGCCGCTGCTGCCGCCCCCCACAGCGCTGGCTGCGGTCTCGATGCGGGTTGGTGCTGCTGAAGGTGTGGAGGAGGTGCCTTCACCACCAGGGGGCTCGCCGCGGCCTGGGCGGGTCCGAGGCTCGTCGGTGTCGGCAGCCCTTGTAATGCCGCGAGCGCCTGGTGCTGCTGGTCGCCCGAGGAACTGCTGACTCCGTGTGGCTGCTGGGGCATGGGCACGTCGCTGCCCGCCGCCGCCGTCGCCTCGCTGTGTGCCGCCGAGCCGGCTGCTCCGGCTGAGGACTCGAACACCTCCGAGGACACCTCGGAGTCCTCCTCTCTCTCGGCGTGGCGCTGCGCCAGCAACTCCTCGGTAAGCTGCTTGGCGACAGGCTCCTTCTTCTTGCCTCCGACGGCGGGGTGCATGCCGAGAGCCAGCACCATCGCTACACGAAACATGAACATGGAGTGAATCGCCCAGGATGTGACTCCGAAGGCGATCGAGATTGGAAGCTTGGAATCGCCTAAACGAGTTTGAGCCCAAACTGGCCACGGAAATCACCAGGACAATCTGAACCCACATGGTTATCGCCGAGAGACCGAGAGCCCCGAGGTCGTAAATAGCCCTACACGCTGATCCGAGGTCGAGGGCTCTGGTCGTCTCACTGGCCTGGTTCTGGTGGTACTCCTCATCCTTAGCTTCTCCGCGGGATCCCGAGGCCCGGACCGTCGCTAGGCCGCTCCACTGAGCTCGCGGCTGGTGCTGGTCGCTAAACTCGAGCTCGATCGATAAGTCTTGTCCCCGGGCTCGGCCCTGGCGTACGGTACTGTGCTCGATCCGATTGAAGCTGAGGGGAAGGAGGTAGAGGACAACCCTGTAAGCGCTCATCTCTCCGCTGGCGCTCATCACAGGTGACGGTTGCCCAGTGGCCAGTACAAAAGAAGACGCTGTCAGAAAAGGATACTTCCGAAGCGCACTGTCTGGGGTAGTGTGGCTCCCCTTAGTCTCCCGCACGATATCGGCCATGCGGTGACCGGAGCCCAGCTTGGTGACAGGAATGTCCTGAGCTAAAAACTGCGAAATCAGAAGATTACGAGGAAGGTCGAGCACGCAGCCTAGGAAATCCAGCAGATTGACGCTCAGTATATGCGGAACGTCTTCGTTCAGCACCGTGGTCTCCACAACTCCCATCACTCCGCCGAGGCACATCGGATAAAGGATGGTGCAGATCACCTTTGCCTCGCCTCCGATGCCATGCGCCTTCTTGGGCGCCTTGAACTCTCCTGGTACTACTACGTAGCGAAGACCGTGACGAGCCAGCGCCTCGGCCTCTCGGTTCAGTGATGGCAGTCCCACTATGTCGCTGCCGGCCCCTGGGTCCACGAGGCCCTGCGTCACGGAGGCGTTGAGGTAGACCTCGATGGCCCGCGCCTCCTTCCGGATTTCCTTCAGCTTCTCGAGCTCGTCGTTGCTCATGATCGGGTAGCTGCAGCCGTCGAACGTGTACCCGGCCAGGCCTCGCTTTGACCGATCAGGACCCTTGCCGCCGTCCTCCTTCCGCGGCTGGGGACACTCCCGTGACCAGTGGCCCTTCTCGTTGCAGTTCTTGCAGCGGGTGACCTTCATGAGCCTGAGGATTCTCTGACTCGTGGCGCCGGCATCCTTCGGCCTGTCTCCTCGGCCTCGCCCGCGCGCGCGGCCTCGGCCGCCTGTGCCGCCTCGGCCGCCCCCACCACGGCGTCCGTCGTCGTCGCCCCGGCGAGGTCGTGCACCGTGGAACTCGCGGTCCTGCTTCGCCGCGCGCTTCAGGTCCTTGTTCTGCTTCCAGGACCTGCGCTGCACCTTGCCTGTCATCTGCACGAAGGCCTCGGTGGCATCGTCCTCGTCGAGATCCAGATCCTCAATCTCCGCCAAAATGGCCATGAGGTCTGTCTCGGATAGCTCCTCGTCTTCGTCTGGATCCTCTCCCGACTCGTCGTAGTACGATTCTTCGTCCTGTCGAGCGGTCCCGGAGCCCGAGACCTGGTAAGCCTGGGAGGACGAGTGAGGGAGAGGGAGAGAGCTGTGGCCTCGTCCGTCCTCGCCGTCTTCTGCGGCCAGGACTGGGTGCGAGGCACTGCTGCCAGGCAGCAGCTTCTCGCCGTTGCCGTAGTCGAGCTGCCTGAGAGCCCAGGCCACGCCCCTGTAGTCTAGGCTGCCCTTGGTGAGGGCGCGCAGGTTCTGTTGACCTTGCGCGCTCAGTCCCGCACCCTCCTCGAGCATGAGACCCTTCATCTTATCCGACATCCATATGTCGTGGCTCTCGGCGTCGGTCATCTGCTGATCGCGCCTAGCTACGAACTGCGCGAGGCTCTCCTTCTGGCCCTTCGTGCACTCGAACAGTACCCTGCGACCCGCTCGGCGCATGTCGTCGCCCTCTCGCTGGCCGCTCATGAGGTCCATTCTCTCGAGGAGAGTGTCCAGCCAGCGGGGTCCGCACAGCACGTTCTCGCTGATGTCCTCGAACTTCGCCTGCATCGTCCAGTCGAACAGCTTCAAGAAGCGCTCCGACCGCCTCCACAGCTGCACGTCAGTGTTGCGGTTCCACCGCTGGATCGCCTTTTTCCACAGGCGGTAGTGGCCCCATCCTGGCCAGGTAGGTGGGTCTGAGTAGTCACCTTTTGACCATCCGCCCTCGTTCCAGTTGTGGTTCCTCCAGCCGCCCTTGTCGTCGTCCTTCCAGTCGGAGTCCCTGACGCCGTCTCGCTTGGTGTCCTGCTGCTGTCGGCCCCCGGGGCCCCACTTGCTCTCGTCAGGCTCCGGCTGTCCATTCTTCCATGGATCGCGGCCGTCGCTCCAGGGATCCTGACCCCTCGAGCTCTCCTGCTGGCCGCTCTTGGTGCCGCCGTAGTCGTCGCCTGCGCCGGCGGCGCTCTGGCTGAGCCCCGGGCCGAGGTTCCTCACTGCGTCCTTCACGGCCTGCTGGATCAGCTGCTTCAGCTGCTCTGTGACCTGTGGGCTCGAGCTCGCTGCGCCTCCGACGGGTGGCGGTGACGCCGTCCCCTCCCCAGTCCCCTCTGACTGGGCCAAGCGTCCTCCGCCTATGACGGCGTACGTCTCGTTCTTCTCGTCTCCTGGGCCAGTGTCATCTGGCCCTGGCATCAATGCCTGCCGTGGATCCGCGCTCTGTCCAGTCCGGTGAGAGCAGCGCCCGCGCAGCCGCCCGAGCTGCCCCCGACACCACCGCTGATCAGCGGTGCCTGGGGGCGCCCATGCATGCCGCGCCGAACACTGCTCCGCTACCAACTGTGGCAGCAGCAGGATGAGCAGATGCATTTTGGCCTTGAGCCAGAATGTGACAACGACAGTACATCCTTCCCTGAAACACGTACGAACAATCCTGGCCTCCCGTGAGCTGGAATGTTGGGCTTCACGGGAAAGAACATTATGCTAAACCTTTATCGATAAAACAGGAGCGTCTCCACACCCTGGAGGCGTTCTGGAGCGCTCCCCGGCCGTGGCGGCCGCGAAGCTTCGGGGGCGGCCCCTCGGAGGGGCAGGCACAGGCCGAAGCCTCGGCCCTCGAGCTCCCGCAGTCCGCCGCATGGTCCCCTCCGCCCCCCCCCCCCCGTCGGGGGCGTCCACCACGAGGGGGGCGAGGACGGGGGGCGTGCGGACAGCACGGCCAGGGGCCACGGAGTCTCCCAGGCTTCATGGCCCCCGCCCCCCTTCTTCTCTCCAGGCGTTCCCTACCCCCCCCCCCTCGTTCGCGCCCGCGCCTCGCTCGGCGCCTGGCCCGCGCCTCTTCCTGGCCCCTCTCGCTTGGGCGCGCCCGGATATTGGCCCCTCTTCTCCCTCGGAGGTCTCCGCGGCCCCCGTGGAGGCCTCCGCAGGGGATTCCCCTCGGCGTCTGGAGGGTCCCGGACCAAAAAACGGCGACCTGCTCTGGCGGCTACAGTCGGGGGCCCTCGCACGGTGTGGGGACCACACCGCGTGGTGAGTCTGGGGATTCGAGGTCGTCGCGCGGTTTTGGTATTCGGGGCAATCTCCGAGGACGTCTCGGGCGACTGGGGCCTCCAGGGCCCCACAGCTGTGCGATGGCGGACCGCGCGGGGGTTCCGAGGTCACCACGCGGTCCGTCACCACACAGTTTTGAGGCCCCGAATTCGGGCGAGACGGGCGCTGCGCCGGCCGCGGACTTCTGGGGGTGTCGGAGTTCCGGGGGAGTTGGGAGCAGGCACGGCGAGGTCGATTTTCACATCGTGATCTTCCTATTCGCCGCCCAGGGTCCCAGCGATGGGGTTGGGCGGCGAAGTTCCAAAGCTCAAGCTCGACCATCGCAGCCTCAGAAACCGACTGATCGCCTTGGGCGCCATCGCTCGGACGGGTCCGCGCACTACAAGTCCGGTCACAATGAACGAGGCAAAATCGAAGTCGCGCTGGGGAGCTTGCCCCCGCCTTCAAATTGGAAGCCAGCGCATCGAGGTGCATGGGTAGGGAGACATCCAGCCAAGAACTCAGCGCGCCCGTCAATTTTGAAGGGGCCGCTCCACAAAGTCACCCGATGCGCCTCCGAGCTTTGCAGAACTTTGCAGAGACCGCTCAACGACGTCGCATCGTCAGAAGTCACCTGGCGAGGTCGCGTCAAGTGCGACCAGACTTGTCGGGGTGCCGAATCTTGCGACTCTGCCGATGGACTTCCCGCAGAGCTCCGCCACAGTCCAAGGATCGGCGGCGAGCCCCGGGGGAGTGCAGGGGGGGGCGGGCCTCCTCAGAAGGCTTTTTGAAGGCCTCGGGCCTCCCGGGAAGCTTTTTGGACCCTTTTGGACAACAGAGCCGGCTCTTCAAAAGGACGGAGGGCTTCCGAGACGGCCCGCCGCCTCCTGAGAAGGCCTGCCCCCCCTCTCTCACTTCCCCCCGGGGCGCGCCGCCGAAAAGTGTTCTGGAGCACATGCGGTCTAGCTGCAAGCTGAAAGCACTGCGGAAGCCTCTCCCGCGCACCAAGGGCCCCTCCTGCCAGCCCAGCTTCGGCACCCTTCGCGGGGGGCGAGACAGTGAGTGGGGGGAGGCGGATAATGGGGGAGCAGGGAGGGAAAAGGGAGGAGGGCACGAGGGAGGGAGGAGGGAGGGAGGGAGGGAGGGAGTGGGGGAGGGAGGGAGAGTGGGGGGTTTCGGGGGGGGGGAAGGGGAGCAGGATGAAGCAGGAGGAGCAGGAAGAGGAGAGGAGGAGGAGGAGGAGAGAGGAGGAGGAGGAGGAGGAGGAGGAGGGGAGGAGGAGGAGGAGGAGGAGGAGGAGGAGGAGGAGCAGGAGCAGGAGGATGAGGATGAGGAGTAGGAGGAGGAGGCGGAGAACGAGGATAATGAGGAGAAGGAAGAGAAGGAGGAGGAGGAAGAGGAGGAGGAGGGGATGGAGGGGGGGGGGAGGAGTAGGAGTAGGAGTAGGAGGACCACTGGCGTGAACTCGAGACTTATCAACGATATTGCAATGAACCCTCCCTCCAAGCTTCCTCTCAGTAGGCACCCTCTTCATAGCACCCTCCAAGCTCCCTCTTCACTGAACGAATTGCACCGTTGGAAAGCAACCGTTTGAAAATCCCGAACTGTGCCACAATACCATTCACCTGGGACTTCAACGCGTCGAATCACTGTTATTATGTGTCTTGCCGATTCTGAATAGTGCCAGAACACAATTCCTGGGACGCAACACCATGAACCACCGCAAGTGTTGCGCCCTGGCAGTCCGACATCGTGCCCTACACCATTTTTGGGACGTTAGCCATGATAATATTTGAAACTGATGTAGAATCTTAAGGCGACTGTGCGCGGCGCTTAGCTGAGAGGCAACTTTTGGAAAGGAATCGCCCTCCATCCGTGAAGCTGTGATTTTTTAAGGACGGATGTGCGCGGCTCTCAGGCGAGAGCCACATTTTGAAACTGACCGCCCTCCATCCGTGAATATGTTGCAAGTTCGGAGACTCAATCTCCTAAATTGTGAGGTAGTCTCAGGCGAAACGACCGACCCGCCCTTCCGACTGGCCTCGGGGTGCGACAGGGAGGAGTTGTCCATCAGGAAAGGAATGGATGATGTGGAGGGAGGAGGGAGGGAGCAGGAGGATGAGGAGGAGGAGGAGGATGAGGAGGAAGAAGCAGAGGAGAAAGGAGCAGGAGAAACATGCGGAGCAGGATGAGCAGAAGGAGGACGAGGAGGGATGGAGAGGAGGATGGATGGCGGGAGGGAGGGGTGGAGGGGGGAAGGAGGATGAAGGTAGGGGGAGGAGGGGAGGAGGAGGAGGAGGAGGAGGAGGAGGAGGAGGAGGAGGAGGAGGGAGGGAGGAGGAGGAGGAAGAGAGATGAGGAGGAGGAAGGAGCAGAAGGCCAGATACGGAGGAGGATAGGAACGAGAAGGAGGATGTGGGAGGAGAAGGAGGAGGGAGATGAGAGGGAGGGAGGGAGGGGAGGGGAGGCGGAGGGGAGGGGAGGAGGGATGTAAGCGAGGGAAGGAGGAGGAGGAGGAGGAGGAGGAGGAGGAGGCGTGAGGAGGAGGAGGAGGTAGGAGGAGGAGGAGGGAGAGGAGGAGTAGGACAGGGAGGAGGATGAGGAGGAGGAGGAGGAGGACAGGAGGAGGGGAGGAGGAGAGGAGAGGAGGGGAGGAGGCAGACCTGCGACCTAATGCGTGCGCAGGAGGAGGAGGAAGATGATGATGCTGATGATGATGATGATGATGATGATGATGATGCTGCTGCTGCTGATGATGATGATGATGATGATGAGGAGGAGGAGGAGGAGAAACATGAGGAGCAGGATGAACAGGAGGAGGAGGACGATGAGGGATGGAGAGGAGAATGGATGGCGGGAGGGAGGGAGGGATGGAGGGAGGGAAGGAGGAAGGAGGATGAGGAGGAAGAGGAGGAGGAGGAGAAGGAGGAGGGGGAGGAGGAGGAGGAGGTATGAGGATGAGGAGGAAGATGAGGAGAAGCGAGCAGGAGCAGGAGGATGAGGAGGAACAGGTTGAGGAGGAGAGGAGGAAGAAGAGGATGAGGAGGAGGAGGAGGGAGCGGGAGGGAGGGTGGGCAGGGGAGTGGAGGGGGAGAGGAGGGAGGGACGGAGCGCGGGAGGAAGAGGAGGAGGAGCGGAAGCAGACCTGCGATATAGATGGCGTGCGCAGCGAGGAGGAAGAGGAGGATGGAGGCGGGAGGAGGAGGAGGGGGGAGGAGGGAGGAGGAGGAGGAGGAGGAGAGGAGGAGGAGGATGATGATGATGATGATGTGATGCTGATGCTGATGTGATGATGATGCGATGCTGATGGCCGACATGCTGATGATGCTGATTCTGATGATGATGCTGATGCTGATGATGATGATGCTGATGCTGATGATGATGCTGCTGCTGCTGCTGCTGATGATGATGATGATGATGATGATGATGATGATGATGATGCTGACGATGATGATGGTGGTGATGATGATGATGAGGGGGATGAGGATAAGGATGAGGAGGAGGAGGTGGAGGAGGAGGGGGAGGACAAGTGTAAACCCAAGAGTCATCAAGGATGTTGGCATGACCCCTCACTCCAAGCTCCGTCAGAGGCCCCCTCCAAGGTTCGTTTCCACTGAGAGAACTGCCTCGTTGGAAGACAACTGTTTGAAGACCTTGAAGCATGCCAAAACATTATTCTCGGGACTCCGACGCCACGGATAACGGGACCGATGCGTCTTGACGATCCAGAATCGTGCTAGAACGCCATTTCTGGGACTTCCTCGCCGCGGGTCAACGTAACTGCTGCGCCCTCATAATCCATAATCTTTCGAAAGCACCATTTCTGGTACGTGGACCATGGGAAGCCGTGAAACCCTTTCAGTTTTTGATGAGGAATGTGCGCGGTGCTAAGGCGAGAGCCACATTTTGAGAACGAGCCGCCCTCAATCCGTGAAACTCTTGCAAATATTTAAAACGAATGTGCGCGGCGCTAAGGTGAGAGCCACATTTTGAAAACGACCCGTCCTCCATCCGTGAAACCCTGACAATTTTTTAATGAATGTGCACGGCGCTAAGGCGAGAGCCACATTTTGAAAACGACCCGCCCTCAACCTGTGAATCTCTCGCAAATGTTGAAAGCGAATGTGCGCGGCGCTAAGGTGAGAGCCACATTTTGAAAACGACCCGCCCTC